GGGAACCATGTCCAGGTAAATGTAAATATTAAAAGGTAATCTAAAGTAATCATCAATGCATATTCTCAGAACTTCTGAAGACAAAACCAAGGAAATCTAGCAAACAGTATGCTGTTATTTTTTTGCTAACATGGGCCCATCACAGTCAAAAAACAAATAATACAAGAATACAAAACCTTGTTTGAAAACTTAGTTACTAAAATAGAGCTGTCCCAAATTTTAAAAGGCTTTTAAATGAGCGTTATGCATCGTACCTCTGAGAAAAAGGGCAGAAAGTTCTTTGAAAATCTCTGCAGCTGATCTGAGTCCCTGTCATCTCTAAAGATTTTAACTTTGGCCTGTTACCTTGTCTTTTCAGTAAACAACTGATCTACGTATCCAAAGTGTATGTCTGTGCATGCATAATGAAAGGGGTGGTGGTGGGGGAACAGAGAAATGAGGGGGAAGAACAGGCAAAAAAATACAACCCCTTCATCACAGTATGTTTTCAAGCTGTTTTCCTAAGTAGCTTTCTCATTTAGCGATTTGTTGCAGCTAAGTGATGGAGAGGTATAGCATCGAAATAGGCTGTTTCCTTGAGGCTATTTCCTCAGGTTATGAGGAGCTCTTCCTTAAGCAACTGTCAAGTTGAAGTAACATCTGTGAAATTGGTGAATTCCAGGAACGTGTCCGGGTCCCTGAGGTAGATTGGTAAAGCAGGTGAATGTGTTAGGCAAAGACTTTTGGTAAGTCTGAATAGAAGGCTTGGTTTGTTTTCAAAAATATGCAGCATAAAGCATTTTCACCTTGAGAAGTCTCGTGTAACAGGACGTACATGTGAATGAATGCTCTGTGTGGAGTTCTCTCAAATATCAACTATGTTAAAGCACCAATCACTTCCTACCTCTTCTGGATCCAGTGTAATATTATTATCTTTCCACTCAGTTCTTTTGTCTTCCCTACAACCCCTTCCTTTCCAGATACAAAACTATAATTCCCTTAAATAAGTGAAACTATTTTTTTTCTAATGGACTTCTTTACCTGCTTTCCTGTGTAGCCCAAAGAGTGTTTTTTAATGCTTCTCTCTTAAAAACGGAGATGCCAAAACGCCCTGTAAATTTTAAGAGCCAGAAAGTAATGAAGAAAGCTTTTTTGCCCCCATTATTCTGCACTGTGCAATATGTATGTATGCTAAAGGCATACTGATGTTATAACTACAATTAGGAGGGGCAAGGGATTGGGGGTGGTAGTGTGGCAAAACCAAACACTGCATTGTTTATTTCCCATTTTGATTTTCAAAATAGGTAATAGAATTAGCTGAAATGAAAAATAGTAATTTTAGCTTTTTCCTTACAGGTTTGATCTTACTATTCTATCTGGTATTTTATGGCTTCCTAGCAGCACTCTTCACATTCACAATGTGGGTTATGCTTCAGACACTGAGCAGTGATATACCAAAATATCGTGACCGGATTTCTAGTCCAGGTAACAGTGTATTTATTTTTTTATAAGCCTCTGGTTTAACAGCTATGTTTCACCTGAGAGTTTGTTTGAAGTATGAACTACCTATGGGAAGCTCTGATTATTATTTGATTACTTACAGGTTTCAAAGGTAAAACTTGGTGTGAGGCAAGTCATATATGTTTATAGCATAAATTCAGTCAGTCAGTAGCTTTTTGTGTGTATGTGCTAGCTTTTGCTGTTTTTTCTCTTAAGTTCTTTTTCAGTTGAATTTGTCATGTATGTAGACCGCAGTTTTGCCTGCACATCCACACAACATGCTGTTGTAGAAGTCAGCTTATCATTTAATCAAATTGCTTTAAGGGTGCTATAAACCAGTTCTCTTGGATCAGATGGAAGGCCACCTGTGATTAGTATTTGATACTTTGAGGAACGTACAGGAAGGCTGTACTTGAGGGTGATCTGTTCAAGAGCATGTAAGAACTATGATATGAAGGCGTTTCCAGAGTGTTCATTATGGTATTAGCTTTCAATTGACATGGAATGTCTGTGGATTCCAGAGGTTGTTGACCTATTATGCAGGGATCCACTCAAGAGAGAGGGTCCTGTTTTATGATGAATCTAAGTCCACGTAACATGTAGCTGCCACTAAAAGCAGTGTCTTGCTTCTGGGAACTGCTGCTTCCTTTGTGTATATGCCCATTCAGTCCCACTGTTGGCTGGTTCAAGGAACTCTATGTGACAGATAAAAAAAATCCTGCACAAATAAAAATGAATAAAACAGTGGTTGTCTTTTTAATTTTTTTCTTTTTAATTTTTTTTTAAGATTCATTTAAATATATCGCAAAAATCTGACATTATAGGCTGTATTTTTGTGTACCTTCATATTGGAAAAAAAAAAGTATTTTCTCTCTGAAAGATTGAAAAGATGCTTCTGCATACTTTAACTACACCAAAGAGATTAATGTTTTCTTGTTACTGTTTCTGGAGAACGTGGATTTGATTTGTATAAGCAATTTAAATGATTGGGCCACCTGAAAATTTGATATCTCAAATTTTATAACTACTTGGCTTATAGACCAAATTTATGTTTAAAACACAACAAAACTAAATGGTTATGCAATATTAATATTTTGGTGAAAGTTAGACAAAATTAATTTTTAAAATACTTTTTCCTTTTTTTGAACTCCAAACTCTTAAAATAACCAGCATCTTGCAGCTGCATCAACACTTAAGATGAAACAGTAATCTTTGTGTGAGGAAGTTGCAGTTGGGCCACAATGATACATATCTCTGGATTCTGAATGGAATTTGTTTTGATGTAGTGTTCAGGCCTTCTCTAACAAGTGTCCTCTACTTATAAGGGATTCTTGAGGATTTGTGCTGTTTTTTTCAAGTGGAGAATGGGCTAAATGGGCTAAATGCTAGAAAGAATAATAATAATTAAAAAAAAAAAAGAGTAAAGAAAAAAGAAGGTGGCTTTGTTGACCATTTCTCCCAATTTCCTTTGTGGTAGTCAGACCCTTGGTAGTGGATGGAGCTGTGGGTATCTGTGACTTAATACTGGACTTTTTGTTCTCGTGCCTCTTGCAGTTCAGGGTATTAACTTTTCTTTGTTTTGAAATAATTCATAAGGGATGTTTGCTTAAAAAAGTACATATACCACAATTAGTTTTTAATTTAAGAATTCCTATAACATTTCTGAATTAATTTTTTTATTAATGATGTCTTTAATTGCTCATTTATAAAAGTTAATAAAATTGCTTATTTCTGTTTTATTGTTTCTCTTTAACTCTGTCATTTTTCACTTGCAGTGAAACATGTCATGTTCCTGGCTGTAAAACTTTAAATTATAAAAAAAATTCTACACACAAAACCTGGATGGTGTAGGTCAAAGGTTTTACTCTTGTGTTAAGCATAATTGGGAATCTCACAGTTGATTTATTTTATAATTGATATTTGACTTGCATTGTACACTGGAATGTAATACTATCAATCAAATTCAGGTGATTTAAAAACCTTTTTTTTTAAATCCCTCTTGGAATTGTAGGATAATGTAATCTCTATGACATGTGATCCTATGTTGGGGTTGCTAATTCTGTTCCTCTGGAAGAGCCCAAATTCTGCATCTCTCATAGTCTATGCATCAGTCCTTCAAATAGCTTTTTCTGTAGAATTTACACTATAGTATCTAGGCAGACTGTGATCCACTGGAATGGGGGCAGTTCCTTTCTCTTTGGATGTTTTTGAAGTTCCCCTGAAGCAATAAATCTCTTCAAATTATTGTTTCATTCATTGATGACTAGTTCAGTTACTTTCTCATATTCACTTTGCAAAACAGTATCTAATACCTTCACTTACAGTATAATTCTATAGGTAATACAATCTCTTCTCCCCCAAACCCCTTCAGTGTGTAAAACCCCTTCAGTGATTTTTCAGCCCTGTTACTAATTATTTTGTATTTTGTTGAATCCTAGTTTAGTGTGGAGGCCAGAAGATGACTGTAATTGTGCAAAGTAATTTCTAGTCAAAAGTGGTATTTGTAGTTTTGTCAGTCATTAAGGCATTTAGTTGTGGCTTGCCTGGAAATAATTTAACTGTGGCTAATGCAGAAAGGGAATTTTATGATTTATTGGAAATCGTACAAAAAAGGTAGAGTAAAAAAGCATTAAATTATATTTTTTTTTTTTTTTTTTTTTTTAGAATCTGAAATAAGTTTGTCTGTGATAAATTTCTAGTATATACCTTTACTATTTCCCAATTTAAAGTATTTGTAATAATTTCTGCCTTGTGGATGAGAGGCTTGGTCATTTCTATAGGTGAATCCTTAATAGACCTGGGCTGCTTAATTGCACTTTCTATATGCTTTCCAAAAGCTTACTGTGATTGATTAACTACAGTAATGTATTAACAGTCCAACATTAAGACAACTTATCTGACTTTATCTTCCCACTGTAGTCTTATCTTCTGTCGTGGTTTAGCCCCAGCTGGCAAACAAGCACCACACAACTGCTCACTCCCCCTCCCCGGCTGGTGGGATGGGGGAGAGAATCTGAAGAGCAAAAGTAAGAAAACCCATGGTTTGAGATAAGAACAGTTTAATAATTGAGATAAAATAGTAATTAAAAAAAATTGTAATGAAAAGGAAAACAATGAGAGAGAGAGAGAGGAACAAACCCCAGGAAAAACAAGTAATGTAACCGCTAACCACCCACTGACCGATGCCCAGCCTGTCCCTGAGCAGCGATCGCTAGCCCCTTGCCAACTCCCCCCAGTTTCTATACTGAGCATGATGTCATATGGTCTGGAATAGCCCTTTGGTAAGGTGGGGTCAGCTGTGCCCCCTCCCAGCCTCTAGTGCCCCTGGCAGAGCAGGGGAAGCTGAAAAGTCCTTGACCAGTGTAAGCACTGCTCAGCAACAACTAAACCATCAGAGTGTTAATAACATTCTTCTCATCCCAAATCCAAAGCACAGCATTATGCTGGCTGCTAGGAAGAAAATCAACTCTATCCCAGCTGAAACCAGGACAATTCTTAAATGTTTATTTTATATAAAGGAGGCCTGATTTTATTTTTTAGTTTTTAGCTTTGGAAGATGAGTTTTGTTTTCTCTCTTAAATTTTATTAATTTGGGAATCTAGTTTTAATTGGTTTTGCCAGAGGATATGAAACTACATGGCATCTCAAGCTGATACTATTAGTTGCAGCTGTAATTGCAGCTTCTTCCCTTATACCAAATTTTGCATGGATAAAACCATTTTAATATTTTAACTTGGAAGAAAACTAATCTGATAAATAAAACAGTTGGGTTTTTTTTTTGTCTTTTGTGGAACGCAATGTCAGTTCTCAGCTATACTTGAAGAGACAGATGCATGGACACTCATCTGTTAATCAAAACTGCAGCATTTTTATCCATTCTAATTACTTGTATTAAATAAGAGTTACCTTAAGGTAGTGTGACTAAAACAATTGATCATACACCCTTTTTTGAACAGATCTAATCTCCTCTGCAATATCTGGTGGTGTAGTCCTATGACATCTGCTGCTGAAGCTGTGATGAATGGCAGTAGCATTAGGTATCCGTGTTAGTGACAACTCCTGATGGTACAGGGCTGTATGTATTAGCAGAGCGTGTGCCTTTTGCTTTCACCTGCTACAAAAAAATTCCTAAGATTTAACTCTGTACCTTTCTTTTCCCATATCCTGAGAAGAAGGACAGTTCACCTCTATCAAGGGCCCAAACTCCATGTCATGTCTGCCTTTTTTATCCTTCAACGCAAAGCTGGACTTCAGCATTCAGTAATCTGTGTCCTTGTTTCTCCTGCTGGTCCTGGTTCCCTGGCTGTAGATCGCTCCTGTTCCAATACCCTCAGCCAGCAGCTGAATGAAGCCAGCCGTAGGCCCCTGCTGCAGGGGAACCCTGACTGCTGCAGCGTCCAGAGCTAGCAGCCTGGGAGGCAGATTGAGAGCATTTGTAGTTACTGCAGCCTGACCAAGGCGTACCTCTTCAAGTGACAACATGTGCAGGGGTGTGATAAAGCTGCTTGTATTCCCCGTGAGACAGATGACAGCTAAACTTTCTGTTTGCAGGGAAGGAGGAAAGGACTAACAATTAACTTGGCTTGTCTGTTTTGATAGGGAAATTTTTCAAACCATCTTTATGCATTATAAAGTTTTTAAAAATACTTTGTTTCTTGTGGGTTTCTATGAGATTAATACAATCATAGCTTCGCTCTGTATTGCCTAAAGCTTTGAAGCATAGCTTCAACTGGAGGCTTTCTGGGTGTGGTTTTGGATATTTTTTCAATTATTTTTTGAGTTTAATTTGCTGAATATGGGAAGTGGGAAGTGAATCGGTAAAATTCTTTGAAAGTGATTAAATTGTTGATTTTGCTACTCATAATCAGTTGGGTTTGCATTGTGAATTGCAGTTATACATTGGATTGAATTTAAGTTTTAATTTATGCAATGTTGATTTTGATAACTGACTTCAAACACAAACTACCTTCCAGTACTGTGGAATTAGGGGTAACATTGATGTTTTTTTACAGATAGGTATTTTCCAATTTATGGATATGATTTTTTAGTAGCTTAGAGTGGCGTAGGGAAGAAAAGTTGTTTAGTTCTTTACTTGCACTTTTTCTTTTTAAGGACTTATGATTTCACCAAAGCCAGACACTGCATTGGAATTTTACTTTAACAAGAGTGATGCCCAGTCATACGCAGAATATGTTTCTACACTTAGAAAATTTCTTGAATGTAAGTAAGTTACAACTGCCCAAGTAATTCAGGCGTATTAATGTTTCCTTTTTTGCTTGTAGTTACCAATTGCTAATGAAAACTGATGCAAGTTCAGGCTTACTCTAGACATGTGTGGTGTTAAAGTATATACTTTACAGAAAAAGGTAAGTATCAACACCTATATTGGACAGGGGGCCTGAGCATGAGGAATAATGGAGTACATCATGGAGAGTTTTGGGTCCTAATCCAGTGTTTTGGTGACATGGTTGTTTAATTTCTACATCTTGTAGTATTTACATACATCAAAAGAATTCAGTGTAAAATTACATAGGTCATGTATTTGGAGGCAAAGTTTATCAAGACTTAACTGATAAGTCTTCATCTGAATGGCTTGGTAACTGAGTGAGAATTCTTTAGTCTTAAGAACTTGAGTGTTTGCCTGTTTAAAAATGAGGCACACAAAAATTAAATTGATAGCAATTTATTCATTTTCACCCTGATACACAGTATTTATGGGCAGAAATATTAAAACATTGAATTAGAACATGGAGAAAAGGTAACATAGGACAAGACTGAAGGATGGCAAAATCACTAGTTTAAGTCATACATTATTTCATATATGTGCCTGTATGTACACTGAATCTAGGAATAAATCAGTTTAAAATACTAGGAAGTTTAACACCTGAAAAGTTGTAAGTCAGAATTGAGGAGGTGCTGTAAAATCTCACCTGTGTGCATGAGTTGCTTTGTTAGCTACACAAGCTATACTTGAATCTATCTGGATTTGTAGTTTTCGTGCCTACTAAAACCTTCTATGAGTAGGCTTTTCTTTCAGAGCTCTGCCAGGGTTTGCTGGGAGGAGTGCTGCATATCATGATTACCTGCCTCTCCTGCAGTTCAGTGGGTTTCAGACTCTCACATTGAGGATGAACTTTCCCTTTCTCCATTCTACTTTGTTTATGCTTAGCTGGGGGCTGGGTGTAAAGGAGGGGAGCAAAACCACAAAATCTGTTAAGTGTGAATAGATGAATCTTTGTGACAATGTGATCTGTGTACTTGTGAAACACAAGAAAGTGAGAAACAACTTGGGGTGTTAGCCTAACATCAGTTATACTACCTGATGTAAATGTAGAGGCAATTTAATGTTAGTCATTGAAATACTTGAAGTTTTCCTGCTTGTTTATAAAAGAAACATGTGCAAAGGGAAAAATGGTTTAGTTTCCAGTAAAACTTGATTGTGTATATATTAATGTATTATTAGCTTAGATTACATAATGAGCTTAGAATTAGTTTCTGTACAGAAATTTATGGAGTTGTGATTATTGGTATGATGAAAAAAGCAGGACAGCATTATATATTTTGTAATACTCTTTCTGTTCTTCCATATAAGTACAGTGCTGCTTCTTGACAGGCTTTGAAAAAGTGTTTAAGATGGATGTAATAGACATAGTGCTCTGAAAATAGTCCTGTGAGAAAACTCCTAGACAAGTAACAGCTAAAAATTAGATATTTATATAGGCTTCTGCAGTTTTTAGCTGCTTGTATGCTTTATACCATTGATTTACAAGCTATTTCTGTTTCATAGCCTATGATGATTCAAAGCAATCCCAAAACATAAACTGTACACCAGGAAGGATTTTTGATCAGAATGATGTTGCTGTTAAAAAGGCCTGTCGATTCAACCTCTCTGAGCTTGGACAATGCTCTGGAAAGGAAGATAAGACCTTTGGCTATTCTAAAGGAACTCCCTGCGTGCTTGTGAAAATGAACAGAGTAAGTGCCTGCTTCTTTTTTAATTCTTAGTGTAAGTGCTTCCAACTACCACTGTATGAAAAATGACTGTAGAAAAGGAGTGAAATACATGTTCAGTTTGCTTCTCAAGATGTTTGCACTTCTGGAATAGTGTAATTTACTGAAACATCTAGCAATTCATGTGTTTCAGAGAGTAGAATGAAGTGAGCATTTTGAGCATTCTAATACTTAATAAGTATTGGCTTTGATTGCTTGCATCGAGATATCCAAAACCTCTGTTTTGAGGAGTACAGTGCTCTTTGGTTTTGCTTACTGTTCTGTGTAACAGATTCTAAACCACTGTGCAGGTGAAGTGTGTTTTACGTCATATCTGTGTTATAGAAATGTAATTAGAATGTAATGCATTCTGTACCTCCTAAACTACATAAGGTGATGAAAACTTTACTGAGTGAGTAAGTATGTGGCTTTTCAGTGGTGTTATGCATTACTTGAATTGCTAACTGGTTTGAGCCACTAGTGTTACATGCTGAATGTAAAATAAGAAAATAGTCCTTTCTGTGGCCACTGTAACTATTTGAGCTTTATCTTAACAATACTTTAAATCTTAGTCCTAGTCTGAAATTGTGCTTCATCTAAAAATGACACTAGATAGATTTGCTGATTGCATGAACTGTCATTAAGTGGGGGAAAAGTTCAAATTCAGTCTGTAAAACTGGAAAGGGGAATGAAGTCTGTGAATACTTTAATGTTCTCTCTTTTAGATAATTGGATTAAAGCCTGAAGGAGAACCACGTATATACTGTACATCTAAGGTCAGTTCTGAATGTAAGAAATAAGTGTGTAGTTAATTTTCCTTGTGATTAGGATGAAAAGTGAAGTAATATACTGTGTCAGAACGTTTATATGTTCTTACTGTATGTCTAGTTTAGTTTTAGTGTCTTTAATTTCTTCAATGTACTTATAAAAATACTTTTTTGTTGTTTTTCATCTTTAGATATATTTGAGCTGTCTGACTTTGCTTTAGAGTCGAGAAAATGCATACATGTTATTTGTGGTCATGTTTGTTTATTTATTGTGAGTTTTGTTTTGTTTCCCCATTTCATAACCTATATTTTTATTTTTTCTCCATGCTGCAAGTGCACCTTAGACAATTTTATAAATGATGGGTAAGACACAGTGTGGAAACTAATGTTACTGTTCAAGTAGAAGTTGCCTTCAAATTAAGTATAAACTACTTACAATATATGGCTAATCTATGCATATTTGTTGTCTACCAGTGGATTTACACAGAATGTTTTATGGGAACTGTAATTATTACTTTGACTTCTGCATATTTTTCCTAGACTGCTTGGGGAGCAGTGAAAGCCTTAATAAGTTAGTAGCTTGAGCAAGGGATGGAGTCATGGCTTTTAGCTTGAGGTGACTGATAAAAATTTCAGCAATTAATGAAACAAATACTGTAAGTGTTCCTGCCTTCATCCTAGGTACCTCTGGTAGGCATAAATTTTAATACGTGATTTTTGTGGTGTCTTTGAAAGTTTTGATCTCCCCATGACAGTGTTGCAAGTAAAGGTGATTCCTTCTCTTATTCAAGACTGATTTCTTTGTGTCCGTTATTAAAAATTTTTGTTCTGTTAGAGGAATTACTTTTACTAGTAGTCTTTCTTCTTTGACTTCTCTAGTTTATCATTTTTCATAATATGGTATCCCAAACTGGACAGAAGTTTGCCTCTAGCTGAGGTATTGTTAATGACAGAATTTTTCTCTCTGTCATCACATTGGAAGTAATAATGTCTCAAAGTGAATTTGCTGTTTGTAATACGTTCAGTCTTTATTTTAATCATTTTACTACTTAGATCAGTCTTTTGGTTATTTCCCAGTCTGTAATTGTATATGTATTTTCTTGAAGTTCAGACCTTTGAATTTCATGTTGCTGTTTTTGACCCCCCCCGTAGTATTTCATGATAATTTTAATGGGATCAGGTTCTCCAAAGTTAGGGCTTGGTGCCATCAATGAATGAACTTCCTTTTACATCTTGCAAGTTCATATTGAAAACACTAATAGGGTCCAGGACAGACATCCTCATTTCCACCTGAAATGCCTTGTGGGGTGTTGAGAACTTATGTTCAAGTGATTTATAAAATATTGATGGTAATCCTATTTTGATGTTTGTATTTCTTCAGCTTTCTCATGTGGATGCTCTATGAGCAATGGGTAAAAGCTATACTAAGCAGATCACAGACAATGCTTTTTCTTATCCTCTTAGCTGATTTCACTAGCAAAATAGTAAGTTTGATAACAGCTTGGTTATCATGGTGGGATTTTTTTGCTTTTTTTTTTTTTTACCCTTTGAGATACTTACAAATAAATTGTATGTTATGGTACTTATTTTCTTACATCCTCTTGCTTTAAGTATGAAGTACTGCTTAGTATCTATTTAGTTATCCATTATCCATCATATCCAGTTAGAACTTCTCTGATCTACACAAGTGTGGTGTTTTTAAATTTTAAGCTTATTAATCTTACTAGTTCTTTAGTGACTACCAGGGAAAATACTTGTCAGGCTTTGCCACTTTGAATGCATTTATTTTATCTTTAATTAGCGTGTTCTCGCCCTAGCTCATCATGATTTACCTGCTTAGGAAAGCTTAAGTGTTGGTTACAAATCATCCTTCTCTGTAGACAGGAAAGAAGCAGCATCAATGCATCAAGCATTTTCTCCTTTTGTCTATGCTTCATTTTTACAGAACATCTTCTTTCTCTTATGCCCCTTGCTTACTGAAACCCTTACTTTAAAGGATTGTGCTGCTCTTTACATCAGCGTATGAGGCCTTGTTTCCAATTCCATTTTTATTTCTTTGACTCTTTAGCATGTGAGTGCTGTGTAATGTTGTCTTCCTTTTCTGTAGTGGATAAGGTGAATGCTTACCTGGAAATAGTATCTTGTGGCTCTTCTGGATCTTGTTGATGCAAGGATGTGAATTGTGGCTCTCTTGTATGCACACTGGAAAGGTGGAGAAGGATAGCCAATGGGCTTTTGTGCATTTTGCAGATGAATTTATAATCACATTGCATCTGCCACTGTATTTGAATGTTCCTTAAATAGTGGCTCATAACAGAAGTTGAAGTGTGATGGTCATTTGTGCTTCTCTTATTCAGGGTGTTTACCTAGTCTTTAAGTAACTGATATGTTCTGTTGCAGTGTTTTGGGGTTTTTTTCCTTCTGTGTTGCTGTCAGCAAATGTGGATTAAAAGAACTTAGGGTGTACTGTGAAATTTAATCCAGGTGACACACATTTCTGAATATAACCCCCATGCTGGATATTAGCTTCATATAGAATATATGAGCATATTTGTGCAGTTCATAGCACAAATGCAACTTACTAGTGATTTTAAATTTTATATCGGAAATCTTTAACATCAGAGTGACAAAGACAGATTTTGCTTAAAAGGTGATTTAATTGAGCAGAGTGAAAACCCTACTGTCATGTTCTCTTAGTTATAAAGCAGACTTTTTTTTTTGAACCTGTAGATTTCCTGTTACCAATTTTTCTTTCCCTTTCATCTGTGTTTTTAAATATTTCTTGTTCTTTACAGTTAGTTTTACATATATTGAGAGCAGTCTGGAGAAGTGTCTGCCGGGGCTTAACACAGGCTGACTTTTAAATGGGGGGAAAAAAATCTTTTTTTTTTTTTTTTTTTTTTTTTTTAATTAAGAGGACAAGTCTCTCAAATACAAAATAAGGTTAATAGCTTCTGTATGCACATCCTGCATACATTATGTTCTTCAAGCATTCTTCTGTGAGGTGATTTTTCTTTCTTCTCCCTGCGCTTTTCCTATGCAATTTTTTTAAAATGCTTAATAAACGTATATTGAAGAATGGCAATAATTTAGACTGCAAAGGAACAAGAATGTGGCCATATCCTAATAACTTATTGTATGTTCTTTTGAGGACCGAGGAGAAGGCATTCTTCTGTGCTGTGGTTTATTCTTTACTATTTTTTGATCTTTGTGTTCCTCTTTTGCTTAGTTTCTATTACTGCAGTTGTCTTCTGAACTTTGTAGTGTATCTTTTTAAAATTGCAGCTTGTTGCATATAGAAAAAACAATGGAAGTTACTAATGCATTTTGAACTTGTGAATTACACTGAACAAGCAGTGATGTTCTGAAGATAACATTTAACATTTTGGGGAGGTGATTTTAGTGGCATTTTCGTTTAGCATGGTAATATGTTTACTTTATTCTACAGTCACATTAGATGTGGGCATTTCCTAGTGGCTTGAACTTGTGGCGGTTTGACAACCTGACAGGACACATAATCCTGAGAAATATTTTACATAGGGAGATATGGCTGTGTATCGCTATAGATAGCCTGTGTCTGGGACAGCTCAATCATATATACATATTTTGTGTATCTTGCAGATTGGGTGACTCCTTAGAAATTAGGCAGCAACTTTGTAGATAGCTGCTTTTCATTACAGTATTTGGGATGATAAGGGAAGTCTAGCAATAAGGTATGCATATGTATATTGTTCCTCTAAGACTGTGATGACACTCAAAAATTCTAGTACCATCACTTTTTTAAACTTGGATTTCCTTTTAGGTACCCTGTATTCCAAGGCTAGCTAACAAATGTTAGGAATAGTACACCATTGCAAGAAGGGGGCTATAGTTCTTTGTGAAGGGTTGTATTGTTACAAATTTGAGAGGCTTAAAAACCTGGCTTTAAACAGAAATTCATCTTTAACTTAAATACGGATGTGCTCTTGCTTCACCAAAATATACAGGCTTGCTTGTGGATACTTGGGATTTCAGCACTTACATGGGGGTTTTTTGTTGTTGTTAAGTTATTCATTGCAATGAATATCCTCTTCCCCCCTTCCCCTTTTCTTTGACTTGTAAGGGAAATATGAAGGCAAGCTGTCTTGACTTGATTACTAATTTAAATGCTACTGTTAATAATCCTTACTGTAGCAGATGTGTGCAGCATGTAACTGATTGCCAAAAAAAAATCTATTTTAGAAATTATTCTAAGAGTTTGTAGCTCAGTTGCCTTTTTTTTTTAGGGCTCTCGCATTTCATCATTGGGTTATAATTCTAATTTTGTGTTCATTTTTATGCAAGCAGATGTTAACTTTTAATTTTGTTGCTATCTTCAATCACAGGAAGCAGACATGGTTGAGATAAATTATTTTCCTCCTGAAGGCTTGATTGACTTAATGTACTTTCCATACTATGGGAAAAGCTTGCATGTAAGTATGCCTTAATGATAGTCTTAATTTTGTAAATGTTTTGTTTCTGTTTACATTTACAATTACTAACACCAGATTGATTCTGAAGTTTGAACTTTGTAATGAGGTACTTATAAGGAATATTACATATGCAGAAATTTCACAGTGCCTGATGTACTTTAGCAGACATAAGGAAATAAACTGGGCATTGTCCTAATGAAGAAGAGGAGGTATACCAGCAGTATTAAGGGCAGGTGCTGCTTTTTGGACACTGATGTCTTTTGGAATCTTTTTGAATGCAGGGAAAGGCAGGAAAAGTAAACGGGTTTTTCAGATTACAATACAGTTTCTAATAGTTAATCCTTGGGGTTTATGTATAGGATATTAAGTTTATAATTCATGATGGTATTGTTGGTTATATTTCTTTGTGGCTCTCCGGTCAGTTTTTCTATTTGCTCTGTTTTATGAAGAAGCACTTCAAAGACTTTGTTCTTCTTTGCTTGCTCCATCTGTCCTCGTTGTATTCTGACATAAGTTATATTTATCTAACTGAAGAACACTTACATTTTAAAAAACCCCAAAGCTCACTACTTTATGGACATTGAATATGTAGAGTTAAAACTCCAATTTCTTTTCAAACTTGGATTTAGTTATTTTTTTCTTTTCTTGCATCAACTTGTGATAACTACATACAGAAAATCCATACCATCTATCAAATATAAAATTATATTGCCTCTTATTGACCAAGTTATTTAGTCTGATAAACATCTTCACTGTTCACCATTGAAGATAAAAGTACTTTTTAAATGTAAATTTATTAGATCTGTAGTACACCTCAGTGGGTGTTTGTAATTTCCCCAAAGTGATTTTTGTACTAAAGTGTTCTTTTTATCAGTTATTTTTCCAGTGTACTCACTCTATACTTACTTGCAGTGGTTCACATAATCTTTTTTTATGCTCATATGGCTTTTTACTAATGAGGAAGGAGTTTGTATTTCTTAAACATTTGCTTTCACATTACTTATGGGAAGTTCTGTTTTCCATTTTGTTGCCAGACTTTTTGAGTTCGTAAACCATGCATTTTCTTAGACATACATGGTTAGAGAAAGACTGTCAACCTGTGCTTCCAACAGGCAGTCAGTACATACTCTATCCCCTTCTTGGAATGAAAAGAATAGAGAAAGAGAGCACTGCTTTCCTAAGAAACAGAAAATGCAGCATCAGTAGATCTTGCAATGTCAGGAGGTAGTTTGTACCAAAGGCAGGATGAACAACTTTCCTGACAAAATTCTTGCCTTGCTGCTATACTGATGGAAAAGGAAAGATTATGAAAGGAGAGTAATGAAGAAAGACAAAACTCAATGCTCTTCCTTTCTTGACTTAGGTGATAAAGAAAAAGCTGCCTTTTAAAATTAATTTTAATTTTTTTGGTTTGGTTTTTGGCTTGGTGGGGGTTATTTTTAGGTTTTGATTCACTGTTCTTTCATGTTCACTTTGCCATGTGGGATAGGGACTATGGTTTGAGGGATTTCTTGCTTATGTGAGGCTCAATTCTTATAACAGTATATTGTGAAAAAGAAGAAGCAGTGAGAAGAGTTGTGAGAGGTTGAGGTATTTGACTAGGTCTCAAGAGACTGGATTGATTTCTTGGCTATACAACAGAATTTTTATATTATATCAGTGTGGAATTGTTGAATTACTTTATTCTGTAAAGGAGTTAAGAGGATTCAACTAATCTTGCTGCTCTTTTGCTAAGGTAGGAGCCATAAAAATACTATTATCTACGGTTTCGTGGTCCAGAATGGTTATTTGCCTTTTGTTGCTCAGCACAGTGAGCCCAACATCCCTTGGGAATGTTACCTTTTTAAGATGATCTATACACCTTAACGAGAATGCTGGTTCTCTTCCCTCCCCCCAAATTTTATATTGAGTAAAAGTCCATTCTGGTATCATCTGTCTTCAAGACACAGAAGTTTGTGTACCTATTTGAAAAATCTTGGCAATGAGAAGACTTCTCTGAGGAAACACAGGAATTTTATTTCTGATTTTTAGAAAACTCATTGAGTGCCTCAGGTGTGGTATCACCCTTACAACCAGAGAATTTTGAGAGTGCCTTGCCTCGCTACATTTCCCTTTCCCAGTTTGAAATTTATAGGAGCACAGGAAAATTTCTGATCTAGTAAAATCAGCATTCAAGGAAAGCAGTTATTTCAATCTACTTCTTACTAGTCCTTCACATTAAAGATTTTAGCTAGCACATCAGCTTCCATGCCATCATTCTTTGTAAATGAGACTTTGAGTATTCTGTAGTGCTTTCTTTGGTAGAGAAGTAGAGAAGATAGCCTAAAAATAACAGAAGTGTATTAAAGAGTCTCTTAAGTTAATGAGGAAAAAAACCCTTAATGCAGAATTTTGTTCAACTAAAATTTAAGGCTTATACTTGTATAATACTGTAGTGTCATATATAGGCCACTGACTTATATGAATTTTTACCAAGAAAACAAATAATTTTGCTTAATCAGCAGTCAGCAGTATTGACCTAAAAATATAAGGTATGGAAATACTTTATGAATATTGGATGAAATGCTGCTTTAATGGTGTATAATAAATAAGCTCTTATTTAATTCATAGGCACTTTACAAGAGAATTCAGGTTGTCCTCGTTGAATCAGACTTGAGAAATAATATTGGGTTGACAAAAAAAAAAAGAATTCTGCATTCATTCTTAAATTTTAATTCTTATTATAGGGAATGGAGTCAAGAATTATAATTGTTCCACCAAATATGATTGATCCAGGATACTGTCAGAATGTTCAAGGAAAGGTTTCTGTGTAAAGCTATTAAACAGATAACACATTTTAGAATGGATTGTTGCTGAACATGTAAATGGGATAGTCTGGAAGGGAAGCTAGTGTACTCGTATTTGTTGAATTATGCTTTTGGCAAAAAACACCTAAAAGCGTGCTAGAAAATTTTTGTTCTATAGCAGGTTAAAAAAAAACCCAAAAAAACAAAACCCAAAACAAACAGAAGAGACAATGGAATGGATATGAAGGAAGACTATAATTTCAGAGGCTGTTTCAAGTAGAGGCTTCTAGAAAAATTGGACTCAATATAATAGAAAGGGGTAAAGTCATATGCCTCTTGAAGATAATGTCTGCGACTTAAATTATGTTGAATGTATTAGTTAAGAAATAGTATGAAGTATGTATACCTCACTATTGAACTTGGAAAAAAGTCTTACCTGAGCCAGATTGGGCTTTGAAAAGTTGGGTTCCTAATAAGCTTTTTTCTTAACTGTTCTGATGGATTAAATGTTAATTTAAATGCTAACTTACTCTGGTATCTCAAATATTTTCCCCATCTTTCTGTTTACTAGGCTCACTATTTACAGCCTCTAGTGGCTGTTCAACTAGCAATTAACTCCAACAGTACCAAAGAAGAAATAGCAATTGAGTGTAAGATCCTGGGCTCACCTAATTTAAAAAATGAAGATGACCGTGACAAGTTTCTGGGACGAATTGCCTTCAAAGTTCAGATGACTGAATAGCAGGAGTAAAAAATTCTCCACAAAGTAAACAATGTGTTGTCTGTTTTGTATCAGCTGGACATGCCATTCTAGGATATAAGACCACCTTGGAGAATGTTAAGGGTGGTTTATGGCGTTCAGGGTAGCGTAATAATATGCTTCCAAATTGTATGTTTAAAATCCCTCAAAATAAATGCCTATCCTGCTTCTGCCTGCCCCATTGGAACAGTGTACAGACTATAGTTATGTTATAGGGACCTGTAAATAGCTGTTTTCAGACACATAATAATGGTGACCTTTGTCCTGTTCTAAAATGTGGTTTTATCCCCCAAGTGAGTGTCTCACGCTTAATGTGCTGTGCTATGTAAATATTGTATTGATTTAACACTGGTTTAACTGTCATATCTCAATGCTGACACGGTTATAGGGATAAATAATAAATGGTACCTGATTGACATAGTGATTTTTTTTGTAAGAGTAAACACCTCCAGCATAAATTGTGTGTATGGGAGTGGGTGGGCGGATGGATGGCTGTGTGGAGATGCCTTAAACTGTAGTCTGGGTGGCATGGGAGAATTGAAATGGATTTTAAGAGTTGGTATGGATTTCTGAAAGTAAGTGCTCAACTAGTACTTCCTTGTGCTTGTCACTGTGCAAGTATTGTGTACATGTAATACTTGGTATAGAGATTGGTATTCTAGCTGAGGAATTGACTCTTTCTTCGTGTTGTTAATTGCTTGCAATATGTGGAGCACAAATAAAATCTATACAATATTCTAAAACTTGTTAGTTAAGAAATGTCAATATACAACAGTTTCAATTGTTTAGCATCCTGGTAACAGTTGTACAACAGAGCTGCTTGAAAAAACGGCCTCGCTATTGTGGGAATAGGCTTTCATTTTCCAATTAAAAAATTTCCTGAAGAACCTCTGTTTAAAAAAAAAAGAGACAGAAAAGGATTGTCTTGATTAAACATTCCTGTTTAATTTATATACTCTTGTTTTGTTGCATCATTTTGACATGCTACGTGTCTTCGCCTGCGCTTTCATCTTGGATTTTCTGTGTATTTCCTCATTATCCATTTAGAAAATTGGTGTAGTCAACTACTTTTATAGAAATATCCTATTGGCTTGGAGCGGATTACTTGCAGTTTAACTTAAATATTTTTATTAGCCCAGTTGCTAAAATTACTACAAATAGACTGGTTTGTGACAGCTCCTCACATTGAACCAACTTGACCCATTATACTGGGTTATAACTTCTGCAGTTGTGCTGATGTGGGACTTATATTACTCCTTCCCAGGGTTTTTGTTTGGTTTGGTCTTGTTTTTTATGAGCACATGGTCCACATTCTGATGTCTTCTCAATATTAAAGACCACAGCAAATCAGCATTTGTGTAAATACCTGTACGTTCTGCTATGTAGGTCTAAATTTGTTATGTAACATGCTTTTGTGCCTAATTTTTATAGTGGTTTTTAATATTCTATTTAAACAAATTAAATTAAAGATTACTAAAATTCAAGATTCAGTCTTAATGCCCTGCTTTGAAAATGTTTGAGGCCAGTCTAAGCCACATTAGTGCAAAACGTTTTTAACACCTGTGCAAGCTTACACCAGTGCACAGTTGGAGGAAGCTGCTCTTAATGGGACTTGAACAGTGTCTTGAACCTCATTAAAAATAGATTCATGTTGATCTGATACCATTCAGCATGCTTTTTTGTTGCCTACAAAAGAAAAAATGTTGTTCCTACAATATGCAATGGGTACTTTTGTAATAATAGCATGCATTAATACTGAATAAGAATGTTCTTTCAAAATGTTCCGTTGCTAATGTTTTAAATCATGCACTTTTAGAGCTGGGATACCTGGGTTCTTGAAGATATGACTCATTGCTTCTTTGTATATTATTAATACTGCCTGAAAGTATTTTAATAGTCATGAGGGAACCTAAAGTGTAGATGTTCTATCTGAAAATGAAAGGACTTAATGTAAAAAAAAAAAATTCACATTTGTGTTCACTTAGGAATAGTAAGAAGTTCTGGAGAAACACTCAGTTTTCAAGTGAGCTGATTTTTGCAACAATTTATCTTTCGACTTACCTATATAGACAAAGCATGAAATGGCAACTCTTCACCAGCACTTTTCAGACAGGTAGAACTCAATAAACTCCTGTTCTCCCTAGAATTTGTAGAGGTGTTTTATTTATTTATTTATTTATTTAATCACACAAGGTTTATCACTTGGGGGGAGGGGGAGAAAGAAAAAATTTCTGAAAGGGTTCAGCTATCAAAATTAGCCTGTAAAATGTATGTAGGTAAAGAGTGTTAAAACTATTTAATTAAACTGAACTATTTCCCCATTTTTATTTCTGTGTTTTAAGAATCATTTGAAAGTTACAGTAAAGATTCCTTGGACTTAATTTTAAATTATGATTAAAGATTTAAATTTATTACCTTGTTACCAGAAACCTGGAATGTTTAACTTTTATACGCTAAATACTTATTTGTCTTATTGGGTAACTTCTAGTACCTTCGAGTGTGGAACAAGGACTCTTAAACATTGTGAAATGGCCAGTTGTTGCAGGTGCTGTTTCCTACCCGCATGAAAACCTACTTATGTCCAATTCAGTTGAGGTGCTGCCTTCTCTCTGCTATGCCCCATTCCCAGTCCCCCTGCTACCCTGCCCATGAACACACCCGCACGCCAGGGTTCAAGGGGAAGCTGAAAAGAAGATTGTTAAGAGACAAAATTAGGGGAAGGTTTTATTCATGTTGATCATGCAGTAGATAAGATGATCCCTTGGGGACAAATGACATTTAGCACTGACCTGCAATTACTTCCTGCTGTCGATGCTGCTGCTTCTAGGACACTGGTGATGAAAATAAATACACTCTTTAGAAATGTCTTCTTCAGTAGCTCCCAAACAGTAGAGAGAAAAAAAAAATCTGGATGCAAATGAAGAGTAGAAGGAAGAGTTGTAGACTAAGGGAGTTGTAAATCAGTATAGAGACAAAGACAAGCATTGGGGGGGTGTCGGGTTTGGGGTTTTTTAATCCCCTGCACCCTGCCTCTCTCTTGGTAGGAGACTCAGAAAGGAAAAATGCATTTCTCTGCAACAAGCCCTGCTGACTGATTACCTACAAAGTTTTAAATGCAGTGTTGTTGTGAACCTGGCACTGAACCTGGATTTCTCTGTTTCATGATTTTTTTTCTACCTCTCTGTGAAGCTTATTCATCATAACTTTTGGATTATATGAGGCAAATAAAGCTTGAAGCTGAACATGAAGTTTTGCATACTTAAACATTCAGAGAGTACACACTTTGGTGGTCTTAAAAAATGAGATGGGTCTCCTCTGATGGAGAAAAAAGTCTTAATTGTATAATTGTCCTGGTTTCAGCTGGCTTAAACCACGACAATAATTCAAGGCTTAACTGAGAAATGCTAGATTTAGATACTAAGAGTATGTGTGCAGCTCTGAATATAGATTTCCAAACCTCAGAATGCTTGAAGCTTCAATCTTAAGTTTCTCTTTTTGCAGTTATTCAGAGCTTTGACTTCCCTGCTAGTGAAACACTCATCTTCTTGCTAGTTAGGCACTTTGTTAAAACATGTCAGCATTCATGCTAAATCTACTGTCAAATTACTGAATCCTTTTAATGAATTTATGTTAATATGTTTCTAGTTAGTATACCTTAAAACTAAGCACTTTTCTCTCTTACAGAAGAAATCATTCTGGTAATACCATTTACCATGACAAAATCTTTTATTTAGACAGATGTTTTTTTTTTTTTAGCACAACTGTGTTCAGAACCAACTTTTCAGTTTTGCCCATAGGCCAGATCTAGTTCTGTACCTGTTGAGAGTAGAAGAAACTTCACCTACAACAGGCAAAACTACAAGCTGTTGTAAACTTGGAAATGGTCTGGGGCCATTGTGCTTTCTACTCATGCCATACACTGAGGGAATATAGTTATTTAGTTCACCCCACCCTCTACATCAATACTGAGTTATTTTTCTGGTTTGGTATTTATTTTTTTATTTTAGGTAAGAATAAAGAATACATGGGGGGTTTCCTTCCAGTTTACTTTTAAAGAATATCCCTTCTGCATTGGAAGCTTTACTTGTGTTAGCTATGCTGGGGGGAAAAATATTTGAAGCAACTTTCAACCTCAGCTGTTTTACATCATGAATCTTTGTCCTGATGCTTCTTTGGTTACAGGTGTTGGGCTATGCACCAAAAATGTGACTCCTCTTTTACCTTAGAAATTACCTGACTATGAAGTCACTGTTGCTGTAGACAAAGGTTCCATCAGAGGCTTGATTTTACAGTAGTCTTAGTTGCCCTTCACTTAAAATACAGAGAGTAACTGTCATTGTCTTGTTAGAAGAAGCATTTTAATTCAAAAGACAAGAGTGAGTTTCTCTATGGGATACTTTCCACAGTTTTTCTTCCTGTCAAAATGGGAGGGAAGAAAATCAGAAAAAAACTAAGCTGAAAATTCAGATTATTGCAGTTTGAAGTATGTTCATTTGGTGACTGTGATTCTTAACATCAGTGCAACATCAGGGTTATCAGAAGCTTGCATGTCACTGTGTAGTCTGTTTGGATCAAATAGCTCTAATAATTCATGACTAAAAGTAAGACTTTTTTTTTGTCTCTTTAAATCTCAGGCAAGCACCTAAAGAAGCCAATAAAGGAAATGTCAGAGTTCTGTTCACTAGCATGTACTTAAATCTTTTTGTGTGATGCAGCTCTGAACAGTGAGTATTGCATGTAGCTGTGGAAGCAGTGCCTCATTTTGATTGTGCATTACCTGAAATGAATTGCTAAGAGTTTAATCTGGATTTGGCAACAATTCCTTAAAAGGGCTGATAGGTATCAATGCATTTGAAACAAAAAATGTAACCCCATATTTTATTTTAGAAAGTATACTTAGCTGTGTATGTTACATACTAGAGAGGTTTATAATATTTTGAATTTGCTTTACAGTTGCATGGAATAAAAATGTGTCCTTCCAGTACCCAAATACTATGTGACTTGTGAGCATGTTAATGCTCTTCCTATTTTTCTGACACGAGAGCCCCTACAGTGATAACTCCTCCAGGGTTTATTGCCCCTAACAAGGTCTATGTTAAACCTGCTGTGGCTGTAGATTCTAACTTCAGAAACTGCCACTTCAGTCCTAATTACAAATGGGACAAGTGCACTTAATTAACACTTTAATGGCTGTTACTTAGTACCAAGTTGTCTGAACATTTTACACGTTCTTTGGAAAGAAAAGCATAATGTATTAGAGCTTGGGTGAGTTTTAGTGTAAGGAATGGTTTTTGGTTAACTCCTGACTTCTTTTGCCTTTTCAGTTTAGGGAGAGGTTAGCATAGAATTAGCACAGCATCTGTAATTCTGCAAGTTCCTCTCTAAATTTGTTTGGGTTTAGAAACTTTTTAATTTAAATAGTACTTAAAAGTGGTAGTAAATTTCAGCCCAATTGGTTTAAATGTTAGTTTAAAACAAATCCACAGATGAGGCTACAAATCTTAATCTACTCTTAAGAAAAGTTGCACGAGTGGCTCTGCTTTCTTTTGAGGTGGCAAGTATAGTAGCAGGTCATTATTTTGTCCTCTTGTTCCCCTACTAAATCTGTAAGCAAACTGTTCAATAATTCATCCACTTAAGGGCAACTATAGCCACAGGTGTAGTTAGGAGCTTTCTGAGACTTTTCCCCTGGTCCCCCACCCTCAGCATTTCAAGTGCCTAAAGCCCAGCGTAGTGAGCTAATGAAGTACAGAGAAGTTTAGCTGCTAAAGAAAGTGAAATGGGATTCTTGATCTGATTCTTGACTTTGTAAGAAAACAAGACAAAATAAACCCACCTCTGAAAAAGTAAAGCTAAATTCAGATAAATTTCTCCAGGTGGTTGGGAGTGTCTTAGTTACTTCACTT